CCCGACTCGTGCCTTTAAAGCGACATTAAGATAGTGTGTGCAGCTGGAAGTATTTTCACCAGCGCAGAGCAGCAGCCAGCGTTAAGAGGAAGCGACATGTCGCCCTTTCGCGGCCAAAGGTGCGCTAGCTGCAGCGCGCTGAGCTTGCCGATCCCTTCTTTGCTCCCCCCCCCTGCGCTCCGCCCACCAAGGTGTTACCCCTACCATCATCGATCGTTTTCATATTGAAAGGGTATTTCGCTTCAAGCAGCCGTTTCCTCTGACTTTTCTATGTAGTACATTATCAATCGAAACATGATGTTGTTGGCGGTGGTTATCGGGATTACTACTTGCAACGACCCTCTTGCAACGATCGAAAGAGTAGGATGCAGCAGAAAAGTGAGATGTTTGGGCCATCGGTAAAAAGGCCAAAAGAGCTTCCTAGTGAGGCACTCGAGAACCAAGTGAATCGTTCCCGTCGCCAACATTTGTGACAGATGTACGGCGGGGTTGGAACGCGTAACGGCACTCCTAGGTTTCCAAATTGTTTATCAATACAAACGCAATTTTTTGCTCTTCTCGTTCTTACCATGGATATGTCTCCCAAGCTAACGATTAATGGGGAGCCATGAATAGTGCTTCTTTCGGTGGACAATTCCTTTCACGCTTCAACTGCGATTTCATACGCAATCTTTCATTTCATCTTTTACTTAGCATCCACCCCACAGTAATTAAAATCAAGACTGTAGATTTCACGACCTGAGTTATTTAGCACCAAGCATAATCGTTTCCTATCATCATTTATCACTTGCTATCTTCACAAGAATTCGACCATCAGTCACGCATGCGGTCTAGAGCTGGGAGAGGGGTCGTACTACGATCGCTGCCTATTACTGCCTGATCAAAAATGCCATGATTCAAGCAATAGTTAATCTCTGAATTATACGCATCGCTCGCGCAACTACCCTTTGCGAATGAGAAGAGAATGTTCCTCTGGGAACTCGTAATACCTGGAAACGGATATGGGGAAGAATTTGGGCGCTCATGTCCTTGGGGGGGGACATCCAAGTGAGTGAGCAATTACTGTGCTTGGGACTAAGCCTCAGGCAGGGGAAGGGATTCTGTGCAAGCAATATGTGTGCTCCATGCCGTTTCTCCCCCTCTTGGGCTTAGTCCTAATGCCACCTTCAATCGGCCCTGTTGTAGATGTCCCCCCCCCCAAGGACATGAGCGCCGAAATTTGATTCTGAAGACACTCAAGTTGCGCGCGTGGTTCTTCACCACGAGACCCGATGAATATGAGCATTCACTCTGCCGCGCTTGATGACCCAGTTCCAGGGTGCTGCCGCAGTCACGAATTCCTGGCCCATACCCTCTTGAAGGCAAGAAAGAAGCAGCACAAAGCTCATCTTTGCAGCATGATGAGTCGATTAAAGACCCAACTCCGAGTTTCGCCACCTTTCACAACGCAGAAATGTGGTCGTTGCCTTCAAGCCATTTTTTCAGTACTCTTGCGCCAACGACTATCAAATTCAATCTGGTGAAGCAGGTGTGATGTTCGTCTTCACAAACATTCCTTGCGAAGAGCTCTGCCAAAGCGAACAACTTCTGACTGATGCTCAGCCGATCACTCAGATTTTCACACTCAGCCTCGGCTATGTCGTCAAATACATGTTTCTCAGTGATGACGCCTCAGAAAAAGGTACGTCTAACATGAAGAACACGAACAGCTAAACTAATTTATTAAAGGGGTCCTTTCAGGGATTTCAGGGATTGTACTCGATAGGAAGGTTCTTTCTTCGGACCATACCATCTCCTTGGAACCATTCACGACGGAATTGCTTGGCAGCTCCGTCAGGAGTGTTGCACCATTCGACAGTGATACGGTCGTTGTTGGTGTCCTGTAAAGGATAGCATGGCTCTACCAACAATGGGTAGACGGAAGCTGATCTTACCTCACGTCCGTAGTCGAACACATCACAGGAGACAGCCATAAGGGTGGCCTCCTTGGGATCGAGCACACCGCAGGCAGGATCCACACCAAGTCTCTCATGTTGGTGGTCTTGATGGCCCATCCGATACGTCGGCCGGAAGCGTTGATGATCTTGATGTGGTAGGTGTGCTTGTCGTCGTACGGCGCGTTGAAGACGATCTTCGAGTTGGGCTGAGTGTTGATGTCGCCAGGAGGAACTGAGGCCATTCTGGTTCTTCTAGTATGGTCTCTGACCCATTCATAGAGCCTTTTATACCCGTCGGAATGTATGCTAATTAGCTGTTTACTCATGATCACTCAAAACATTCCTCTGATAACGGCTCAGTTCAATTGTATTGACGGTTTAGTGAGGGCGGTCGGTCAAAACTAGCACAATGGAAAGAGTATCTATTGAACGATTCATTATTACAGACCTTCTGGGACATGCTTTTTTGACCCATGAGTTGCAGCGTTCCAACGCTGCTCTTTCTCTACGCTCACATTAACCGTGGACGCAAAACATATCCACCAGCCAAGTAAGCCCTAGTTCTCACAGCAGAAGGGAAATACTGGTCACAAGCTCCTTCCTGACAATGAGAGCTTCTTCCAATGCGATGATCATCTTGAACGCTGCGTGATTTCTTCATCCAAGTCACCAAACTGAGATTGGAAAGAGCCCGTATTGTGCTCAGCCCAGTAAGGCTGCTCCTTTCTTCTCCACCATCGCTCCATCTGGCACCTCTTCTTCCACCTTCGAGCGAAACGACCATACCAGCCTGATCCTGAGCGTGTCCTTGAACTGCCTGCTGTGAAATGGTTGATTGGGAAATGGCAAGATACTGGAACCTTTTTTTCAAGACATCAAATGACTGCTGCAACACTTCTGACGCCCCCTGTTACAGCAGAAGGTCATAAGCTCCTTCCTGACAATGAGAGCTTCTTAGGTTACACTTTTATCCACAACCGAGAATCAGATCAGTGTTGTGGAGCCTCAGCACGAAGAATTCGAAGGGACCGGCAAGCATAGGATTGTACCGCTTTCGCGATACAAAACTGCCAGACAAAGCGGTAGAGCGTTAGGTTCCGCGCAAAATTCTATCCAGCGACTGGCGAAATTCCGGTTGCTGGATGCGATTTTCGCCAAGAGTTGAAGTCAAACGCCAAATCTGTTCCTTTCTTCTTCACCATGCTCCATCTGGCACCTCCACCTCCGTCCCCGAGCGAAACAGCCATATCAGTTTGATCCTGAGCGTGCCTTTGAACTGCCTGCTGTGAAATGGTTGACTGGGAAATGGTAGAATACTGCAGCCTTTTTTCAAGGCATCGAATGGCTGCTGCAACACTTCTGACGCCTCCGTCGACAAGATTTTGATTGATTGCATTGATCAAAGACTGGCATTCTTTCCTGCAACTTCTTATGGACTTGAGATTCCGACAGGCGTTGGCTAATTGAATTCTCTTTTGTAATGAAAAGCATTTGCATTGAGATGGAACCTGTTCAGATTGAATAACTGGATATCTTCTCAAAATACGGTACATACACGTTGGATACGGTGGTTGCGCGGCGAGGCTCACCGCGCAACTTGGGCCGCGCGGGATCTCGAAGCGCACCAAATGACCCCGTCGCCCCGTGCGCTACAAAGGGTCAATCTATCGTTACTACAAGTACAAAAGGGGGGTCGTCTTTGGTTGAGCTTGTAGGGGAAAGGGCGTACTCTCTCGGTGGCCAACAGTGGGATTCTTGGTAATATCCCTAGAAGAAAAAATAGACTTATAGAAATCAACATATCACGATTTCAATTAAAAAATAAATTGGTGGCATACTTGTCTGTCCACACATTTAACACAAAGGGGGCGGGGGGTCGTACAAATGCGCCTCAGCGAAAGGGGGGGGGGTCGTGAAACAATTTACTAAAAAGTAACCAGCGGTTAGGGTTGACCCTTCCCGCTACTTTTAAGGCAGATCGCTCTACTCACAAATCAATTTGACAAGTTCCATGACAATGACGTTTGTTTTTGACCGAATTTAACCCCATTTCCCGATTATTCCAGCATGTACGCGAGCACTGTTCTCAACCTGCACCAAAGGTCAGCTCTTCAGTATGCGATGTGAGCATCTACGGTTCTCAAACGCAATCACTAACTAGCTCAAGTGGATCGAGTTTGACATGTCTTGCCTCCAACAACACAATCGTCGTCGCCGTCAACCGGTCTGAGCACCCCAGGTGAACCACAATCTTTACACGCGATTTTTGTTATCATCTGCCAAATCAGCCATATCTCAAGACAGAGTTGATCAGAAGGTGGCGTCGTTGGTAAAATTTTTACCATCACACACCACTCCAGCAGTGCGGTTCTTATGATCGGGGAGGGGGAGCGTGGAAAGAGATCCGCCCCGAGCGTCTGCGCACGACAAAATGAGGTCGTTTATTCCCAGCCGTTCAAACCGCGTCCACTTTTTGCTTTCGACGGTGTCTTTTTCCATTAGGCTTACGAAGCAGGACAATGGAATTTCCAAGCAGTTTTATGGCGAAAGGCCAGAGAAGCAAAAGAAAACGACGCGATCTGAAGGGTTCGGAAAAATCCGGGGTACCTGTGGCATGACGAGGACAGACACACGACGTGTACTTTTGTCAAATTGTCACCCCGTCCCCACTAGGATCAGTCGTGTGCTGCTCAGATTTCAGAAATTTTACGACCCCCCCCCCTGTTTTAGGAACATCTTGATAGCCCCACCATTAGCATAGCCTTGGGGAGTCACCCGGCATGACTCCCTCCTCCCCTATCCATCTCCGACCACCAGCCTCAGCATCATGACTTTTTCCATAGTGCTTGATTCTAAGACTAGTGAACGCAGCCCACAACTCCGCCCAATTTGTCCTCTAAGACGGAAACAGTCCGGCGATCGAGCGAGGGAAGGGGAAGGGAAAGGAGGTGGGTGGGTAAATGTGTGAAATACGCGTAAAATCTTCTAATTTTTCTGCTTCTTTCATGGAATTTACTCCTGAAGCTTCACAAAACCCGTCAAACGCGATCCCCTCTGCTACCATGCTGCCGCCGCGACCCCCCAACTTCCAGAAATGCAACCTTCCTTTTTTCCACCTTCTCACCTTCACCAGCCCAAAAGACCCCGCCTCAAAAAAAGTCAAATACGACCCTCCTCGTTGAGAACTGCGCAACATATGGTTCACTCTATCCCCACCACTCAAAGCGCGGTAAAAAAAGAACCCTCGACCTTTTGAGCACTGACCAACGGACTAACCATTAGCATAGCAGCGACGCTAGCATTATGCGACTACTGCCTTTTTAGATTCAAAACGATAAGTGCCTATTTTAGAGTTGATTATCACTATCGCAGTGCCGTGTTTTTGTATGACAGTGGTCTGTACCGTATGCGCTGTTGCGTGTTATAAACGAGCGAAGTACAGTGCTCATCGATGGAGGCGTTTCTGGCAATCACAATCTGAACATACTCATGGAACGTGAGTTTACGTTTGGCTGATCTGTGAGCTTTTAGCATTCGAAATGACGGCAAGCGGTGGGACTATCCAACCCCACCGACTGGTATTGTGACCGTAAGAAAGACCATTAAGAGCGCCAAATTCAATAAGAGGTAAATGAGAGCATTATTGCATTGCATGGGTAGTCGTAGAACTCCAACCTCCAGTGTGACTTACACGTTTCATCCGAATGCGCCAGACAATCAAGCTCGACTAAAGGGGCAGCGAACTTGTGCGTGTTTCTGACCTCCCAGGCAAGTTTAACTGCTACGTTCAGAGGGAAAGATGTGCCATGATTTGTGAGTTCAACGCGCCAGCAGCGCCAGTCCAGCTGCGGTGATGCGTGATGAGCTCACAGATCAACTCCTTCAGCTTTGCCATTCTATACCCAAGTACAGTAGATCCAATTATAATGAGTCTACTTCAGAACGACACATAGTTTATCACATCTACCACATCCGAGCAGTCTAGTAATGGCCAATCACTACATGGACATTAAAACACTGGCTGAAGCTAGCAGGTACACTGTCTTTAATTAGAAGCTAGAGTAATGGTCTGAATACTTTTTTTTTCTTCTCCAAGGAAGGACGAGTGGGAGATTTCACTGTCAAATCTGATCATCCATGAGTCTGAGGTACTTGGAAACGGGGCTTTCGCTGTTGTACACAAAGCCACTCTAAAAGGTAAGCACGATTGAAGATGAACAATTTCATCACCATAGTGGTGGTACTCTGCGAAGGCTTGGAGAAAACAATAGTAGGAATTGTTATGGGGTGTGCCTCGTTTTTTTTTTTCTGTAGCATGCGGAGAGCGGTAAACGACACAAATTTAGTCGCCAATTCAGCTGGATTCTTAAGCGTGAGCTTCGTACTTCACATTCTAAAAGATTAGAAGATAGGAGATTAACACATTGGCGCTGTTTCGCATGTTTGCCGCGTGGAACTGGGCCTCTTGTCAATATTTCGAAAAATGCTTCATAAAGCATAAAACCACCTGCACCAAAAATGTTGAAATTTGAAGCAGACACCGGTGAGACTTTGCACTTCCCATACGTTTGCCGATGGATTCCAAATTCGCCGAGAGTAAATCTTTTCGTTTGGCACAGGATGGATTTTGGAGCGAGCCAGAAAAACATCAATTTTCCACTCGGGAATCCGTCCCACGAGGCAAAAAAGTGCGTCCCCACGTCGAGCCGCAATGTCGCTAATGGGTCAAGAGGTTAAGAAATTATGAGATTCAGTGGGAGAATTCAGATATGTATTGATTAGGAGAGTAGGAGATTGGGAGAATTCTGTCGAATCAATCACTACCTGCCTAGTCTCTCAGGGGAGGGTAAATATTCTAATCTCTAAACGTGAAATATTAGGTTCGGTCACAAGTGAGTGCCAAAGTGACATCGATTTTCAAAATGTCGCAACTTTCTTCAGAATACCTTTCTTTGGTGCCATATTCACCACAACTGTCTATGGCTGTCCTCTACACGAAAGTGCTCGGATATTTCTCTCTCAGAATTTCTCAGTCTCTGGAGCAGTGTCTGGAGCAAAGGATATTCGGACGTCCATTCGAAGGCGTTCATGATTGTCGC